CACACACACACACACACACTTACCTTAGCATCTGAGAGCTCCATATCAGCACTCCTCATCACGGAATCTTTCTGTAGCTGCAAGGACTGTGCCATGCGGTCCACATCCTCCAGGTCTGCCGCCAGGGCCTTGTTCTTAGCATTCAGATCGATGGTCTCGGACCTCGCCTCCCGCTCCACCAGCTGAGCCTCATCCAGACGCCGCTGGTACTCACGGTTTTTCTGCTGTAGGTAGTCAATCTGGACGAGGTTGAGAAGAGATTTATATAAAGTATTATGGTCATGAAACTTGAAGGGGTATCTTTTTGTAAAAATGTCTGCTTCGCAGATCCTTCTGGAATAATTGTGGGATTGAGATAGGGTCATGGGGTATTTGTGAGACAAAGGTAGGTCATGGCAGGACCTTTGTGGAATTGTACGTCAAATAATAACTATATTTTGTTGGATCTTTGTTTTGTAACATTCACAAATTTTAACTTGATTTAAGTAAGACTATGAAAACTTGCATCATATCATTTTACAGAAATTTACAAACCTAATTTCTCTTACCTGTATATTGAGGTGTGAGATCATGCGTTCATTGGCCCTGTTCCTTGTTTCCAAGGCGACCACATCGTAGGGCCGCCCTCCGTCCAACATCCTGCCCAGACGGTCTATTTCCTCATCACGATGGTCAATCTGAAAATACAGCAGGTTTTGGTCAGCAAAAACACGTTGACAGAAAAAAAGAGTCTACTGAGTAGTCCTTCAGATTATTCATACTTATCATTGCATTAAATTTTCACATTATTTTCTCCTTAGTATACTCATTACTTAACTCTCAACCAAGACATTGTCAATCTAACAAAAACTGTTTAACTTAGCTTTAGGCAAATTATTTGCAAACTGGAGCAACAGCAACCTACTAAACAGAGCACACATTCATCTGCAGTCACTTAAAAATAGTTTCAATAAATACACATTTACAGCAAACAATTCCCACCATCTGCTTCCAGGTTATCCATTGTCCTGGTCAACAATGACATAAATATTACACCACACTGTATTGTGCCCGTTGTTTAACAGTATACAGAGATACTGGACGAAGTGTATAGTGTACATGTAATAAATATATACATGTCAGGTTTACTGAGGGAAATTATCCATTGATCTTGTATTGTGAAGACCAAGCACAGTCACTGTGATGGATGATGCCATTTGTCTGGCCTTTTGTTGGGAAAACATCCCAGTATGGACCAATCAATCTCATCTAACAAGTGCTTGTCATATTAGGGCCGAATTGCCTATTGTTATTATTCTGTATGGAAAAACTTCCTTTTGTTACTTCTCAACTCAATAAATAATAAATATTACATTTCCTAATTATATCTTCTTTTGGCATGAAGCCCCCCCCCCCTCCTCCTCCAAAAAAAATATTATCTCAACCAGGTTTTACCATCTTAAAACACTTAATTACTGGTAAGAAAAGGATTCTTCATACTAGGCATAATTTTTGATTAATAAATGTGGGCTGAACGGTCAGTTTGGTCCGAATCTCTGAAAATATCTCCCTGCTTTCCTTGACCCCCAATTAATATACTAGTATGGTTAAACTTGCAGCTATATTTATATTCAGGAGCAAACACAGGGATTGTGACAAATCAGATATAATTTAGAAGTATGAACACTCCCAAATCTTCCTCTACTCCAATCATAACACTCCCAATTTGGTATGTGTTAGTAGCACGCACACACACACACAAACACACCTTCCTGGTGGTAACCCTCTTGGTGACTTAAACTCTTCACAACAGCCATGTGCAATCTAAGATAAATTCTTCTCTTCAGATATCAACCATCACTGGCATGAACAACATGTGGCAGTGGCGAAAGAGCGGAGCAGCCTTGAGAACTCCATATCAAATGAATTTCCCACAGAAAACTGCTTTCATGCTTCACTCAAACATTTTTCATCACTTTTAACTTACCACCGATTTGAACTTTCCAGCTGTTTTTGACAAAAATTTCAACAAAACTTTAACGTGAAACCCAACCCTTGACTGTTGCAGATTTGAATTTTCCCTCTTGAATCACGTGAATGTAAATAAGACTTCAAGAAAGTGAAACAAAACAGGAAGAGGGCAAAGTGTTGTTTGTCATAACTTATGGGGACAATCGTCAACATTGTTCCACAAAGCCATTATGCTTGCTTGAAGTATCAAAATACCCAAAGCTTGCAGTATAATAATGGATTTAGAAGGGCTGGATAAATATTGGAACAACAAGGCTAAGAGGTCCCTTGAATGAATGAAATGGAACTGGAAAACACCCCTCTGAAATGCATGGCATTGAACATACACTGACATATAGCCATATCTCTGGGACAGATAAATTTTCTATTTGAAAAGCTCTACTATGAATATACTCTGTTATGTGTATATAGTATCTGCATGCGTGCTTGTGCAAATGTAGATGTAATCAATAAATAAAAAATATCCTTTTCTCAATTTCATGAGACAACTTGAAACATGCATCCCATTTACAAAATAGGTTAACCAGAGGGTGGGGGTGCACAAAATCCATTGCCCATAAAAAAATTACTACCACACAACACAGACCTATTGATTTGATACCTTTAAACAAAAGTAAATTGAGAAAGATAAGTCCTTACAAATGGTTTCACTTTGTACTATAAAATAAATAGGTAGACTGCAGTGCTTTAGCAGTTAAAAAATTATAGTAAATCAAATAAATCCCACCTGACCTGTGAAAATAAATTAAATTAATAAATACTGCAAATATTTCTCATCCATTCTCCATTCTTCACCACATCCCAAAGTCCCAAAGATCCTTTTCTGCTTTCCACAGAGGACTCAGACTTGATTAGTTGAGTAAACAGTGACACAGAGAGGGAATTGATTTCAATTAATCAAAGAATCTCTTGGGCCTATTGAGCCAGCATTCAGTGGCAGTCTGTGTAATGAGGAGTACTATTGTGTGTAAACTTGACTCCCTGACTGATGAAGGCACTTGGGTCATTTGATCTTTCAATTAATTTTACATGGGGCACCCTTAATGTGTCTGATTATTTGTTTGCATAATTGTCTATTTATTTACTTTTTGATAAAATTACTACTTTATATAATACTAAAGCAAATGCAAACAATTTATCTGACCTTCAGCTTCATATTTAGACCTTCATAAGTAAGCCCTTAATAACTTTTCTTATATTAACCACTGTAAACCTCATTTGAGAAAAAAATTGCCCAGATTACAGATCTGATAAATCAACAGAAAAGGCCAAGCCTTGTGATAACCAGCAAGAAAATGTACTGTCCTGATTAGCCAGATAAACTCAATGTAAACCATCATTCTCCACTCCCTAGCTTAACTGTGTGTCAGGCTGAAAACCAGGTTACTTTCTAACAAACTCTGAAAGTCAAGGTAAAAACCTTTTATAAAACCCGAGTTTAACTCCTTACTGAGATTAACTCAAGGCCAGTGGGACTAAATACCTATTACTTATTTATAACTGGTCTTTGAATGGATCAAAAAGTTATTTTTCTCCTTGCTAATGAACCTAATAAAAGTGAGCCAACTGACTGCCAACTCCACATCATCATTTCCTGATATGAACTCAATACTGTACGCTGCAGTTCTGTTCTACCAGGCATATGCAGATATTGCAAAGGAGAAGATAATATACTAGTCAGACCTTAGACATTCTCATCATTTCATTTTGTCAAATGGACCCTGTATTTCAAAGTGCAATGGACCCCCCCCCCA